GGTAGCTCCTGGCACTAAGTCGATTCTGAACTCGACTTGGCGTTGCGGTGGCAAACCGGGAAGTTCTTCTGGGAATATGTCGGGAAAGTCGCGTACTTCTGGAATTTTCTGGATGTCCTTCAGTTCTTGACTGGTATCGACGACGTGTGCTAGGAATGCATGATATTCCTTTCGCAAGCACTTCTGGGCTTGAATGCACGAAATGATACGAAGGCTCGTACTAGGTTTGTCGCCGTAGATAGTTAGGGTTTCGTTGTTAGGGAGGTTAAGACGAACTGCTTTTTCAAAGCACAAGATATCGGCGCGAAGAAGACTCAACCAATCCATACCGATGATAACGTCGAAACATTTAATTGTGACTGGCATGAGATCTATCTTGAAAGTATGGCCATCTAAAGTTAAGGTACAACCTACGTATATGCAGTTTGTACTCTTGTTTTCCCGTTAGCCATTTCTACCGTGAATGAATTTTCTAATGCACATGGTTTTTGTTTAAGCAGGTGTGCAAATTTGTGACTTACAAAACTTTTCTCGGCTCCACTATCGAAAAGTATGCAAGCATATGAGTTATCGAGGAGGAACGTACCAGTAACTATCGTAGGATCAGCTACTGCTTCCTCGTGACCTAAGGCCATAACTCTTCCCACTCCTCCAGTCGTCCCCACTTTAGGGTAGTTCCTCTTGTAATGGCCCACCTTGCCACATCTGTAGCAAGCTTGGCCCATACCGGCGTTAGGAACCTGGGCGGCTTGAGCTGTTGAAGCCTTGCAGTAACGGACGGTGTGTCCCTTCCTGTTGCAGTTGGAGCAGAACATCTCCTTACAAGGTCCGTGGTGGTGGAAGTTGCACTTGGTGCACTTCGGAAGAGTTCCAGCATAAGTTTTTGCTGGTAATGGGTTCGCAGGGGCAACAGGAGTCACTGTGGCAGCATTGATCGCCACAAGTTGTTGCTTATTGGAGGATCCTTGCGGAGCTCCTCTTTTCCTCTTATTCCACCCCCTCTTGTTCTGATCGGGGTTGGGCTTTTGTAGTACAGGAGTAGGGCTTGTCATGTTATGAGGTTTCCGGTGATCAATGAGGGATTGTGCTAGTTCCTTGGCACTATCAAAAGTAATAGGCCTGGAAGCTATAACACTCGACTGGATCTGGGGCGACAGCCCCCAGATATATCTTTCTATCTTTTTGCTCTGGGAAGCAACCATGTCGGGGCATAAGTTTGCCAGATCACAGAACCTATTCGTGTAGGTTCCTATGTCGGATCCAACCATTTGCAGGTTCCAGAGTTCCTGCTCAAGTTTTTGTACTTCTCCCCGAGGGCAATACTCCTTCATCAGCATGTCCTTCAAGTGTTCCTAGTTGATGGAATATGCCACCACCAGGGTTAGGGATTTAACATGGCCGTTCCACCATGTTAGTGCTCTATCAGAGAAGGTACAAGCTGCGAACTTGACCTTATTGTTTTCCTGGCAAGCGCAGATTTAAAAGACAGATTCCATCTTTTCGATCCACTGCCTTAACACCATAACCCCACCAGTACCATTGAAGCTGCGGGGTTTGGCGTTCGTGAAGTCTTTGTAGGTGCATTCCCGAGGGTGCCCATGGCTTTTGCCGTGGTTCGAGGGAGGTGAACCTGTTCCCGATCCACTAGGGACAGGAGTGTTGATTGCTGACACAGCAGCTGCAACTGCTGCTGTGAAAGCTTCCTGGAACATGTTGGCATCAAAGGGGTTAGGTGGTAGAGGAGGTTGAGTTTTTGGTTGTGGTGGTGGAGGAGGCGGTGGTATCGGTGTTTCGTTGATTGGATTACGCCTTGTACTTCTGCGTGGAGGCATCTTTAACTATACGTTTAAAAGATGACGACAATGATAAGAATAAACGATTTATGAATGTGTCCCATGGACTAACTCCCCATAGTCCAACAACAGAATGAATAGAATAACTAACTGAAAGTGACAACATTTGGATAATAATTTCCATATGATTAGATATCTGTCAAGAATACTGGAATTACAGATGTAACAAGTTCGGGAAAAACGGCCTAGAAGTAGGCCTTACATCAACCAAGATGGAAAATTTTGACAGAATTAAGACTAGACCATGACCTAACAGGTCTAAGATTTATACAAGTAGGAAATTAGACCAAAGTTTTACATAAACTAGGTTATATCCAAAAGATGAGATGATGCTATTCTATCGGCGACGGGAACTGCTTGCATGAGTCCTCGATCCCGACAGTAGACGTTCAATGTCTCTTATACGCCTGTCCGACCTTGCTTGTTGAGCTCGAAGTTCTCTAACTTTTGCTCGGGTTTCAGCAAGTTCCCTTTGCAGATTTGCATTGCGGACCAGAGTCCTTTCATGAGCAGACTCTAGTTGGCGAATGTGGACAGTGTTAACACCAGAGTTGGCGTCAACTTCCAAAACTTGATTTATAGTCGCTTGAGTCATGATCGTGTTCCGAGAAATCCTACGCACCATGATTGGTAGTACTCTATCAGCAGAACCTCCTTCAGTGAGGTTGTAGAAACTTCGGTCTCCATTGTAGGGAATGGGTTGACCTTGTTCCTGACTCCATTCAGTCAAGTTAATGGCCCACAAGGGTGTGGGTCCTTGAAACACATGACGAGGATTTAGGTTTGGGTTTTGAGCAGCTGGGGGTAGGTTGTTGACTTCTGGCTCCGAGTCCGAACCATCAGAAAAGCCCTCAGCATGGTGATCATCCAAGGGAATTGGGTGATCATCTTCTGACTCTGCCTCTAGCCAACCAGCATTGTCGGGGTTTGGGAAGTACGGATCACCATGGTGAAATCCAGCCATCTTAATCTACGCGAGAAAAGGGATATAAGAAATAGCTTAAATAAACGAACTAACTAAGGTAATTACAGTAAGATCAAATACCCATATGGTATTTCTTGATGGTTGTGTTGGTAAGTTTTTAGACTTGTTGCCACTTCACAACCATTCTTGGGCATATGCTAATCACTCTTCGGACTAGCATAGTTGATCAGGCTATGCTATTCCCAAGACTGACTATATATCCCCAGGCTCACTTGTGATGTTCAACAATCGTAATACTTTTGTTCTTGTCATTGTGCCACTGGTTTTAGTATGAATGCAGGCACGTATAGTTTGTTAAATATTTTATTATTTAAAAGTATAACTCTTAGACAGAGTGTTTTAATCCCATGTATTTATAGTTAGTATATCTTTTATGGGTTGATATACTTAATTCACTATAAACAATGCTCTGATACCAATCTGTCACACCCCAAAACCACGAACGGCGGAAACGTTCAGGGGTGGAGGACGTCATGTACAGTATCACAACAGTGTAATATAATAAACAAGCAACAACATCATCCATTGCATTATAAGTAAAGTTTTATACATGTGTGTTCTTTCATTGTAATAAGACACCAAAAATATACAATCAAAATAAAAGACGAGACTTGTCTGTTGCGTCTTCTCAAAACCTGTCCTCCGTACCTGTCTAATGGCGACCTGAGAATACAAGTTATTTTGAAAGAGAGTATCAGCTTTAAAGCTGGTGAGTTCATAAGTATATAAGTGTCATTGCTTTGTTTGTGAAAACCTGCTATGAATGCCATGAAAAACCTTTAAGTGAAAATGTTGAGGTAAGTATGAAATCCCTAGAAAAACCCTTATTTTCTATAAGTATGAAGTGTAGTCTTCTATCAATACTCAAATGTTTTGTATGTATGAAGTGTAGTCTCCTACCAAGACTCGAATGTTTTGTATGTATGAAGTACAGTCTTCTACCAAGACTCGAATGTTTTGTATGTATGAAGTGTAGTCTCCTACCAAGACTCTAATGTTTTGTATGTATGAAGTATTTTTCCTTTGTGTAGACTAGTACTAAAAGTGCTTAGTCTAACTCATCGTTTATGTGAAAGATATCACAAAATAAAGTAAACAGGAAAAATATGATATGGTAAGTGTTGTCACTGGGTACTAAGACCAACACTACATCGCATGAAGCGAAAGTTAGACCCTAAGGAACGTCCGAAGAGTGTCCCCTCATCCTCTGTAGCAACAGCAGGATGGAAGGAGGGTTAGTCCCTGCATCGATCTCTTGACATAGATCGTCAACTTAATGATCCTCCGAAGATTCACATCTCGTCCACTGTTGCAACAGCGGGCGGAGGGATAGTTAGTCCCGTTACTGACCACAAATCAAGTGACTACCTTAGACATCCGTAGATGCCATCTCTCACTGGCGCTAATCAGTAAGATTCGGAATGGTAAGTCCCACTGAAAACATCCCCTCGAACGGGAATAGGAAAGACAATTTATACAGTAAATACTAATAAAACATCCCCTCGAATGTACTTATTAAGAAGTGTCCCTGTCTAGAATTCATGTAAGTGTGTTCATGTAACAGGTAAGTATATGTAAACATATTCATGTATCATAGAACCCTAAGTACGTGCAATCATGTATCATGTAAGGCATTAGTATAGACTCATGAATGAACTGACTCTTGTTTGATATTCTCTTGACTATCCCTATGATAGTTAACTGGAAAGTATGTTGTTGTTCAAGTAGGTTTATGTAAGGTATCTAGGAGCTTTGAACCATAATATAAAGTGACCTGAAGTCATTATACAATTCAAAACTAATACTTCTGTTGTCTAAGTATTTTAAGATAGAAAACCATTTCCCGTGACTTCCTTTGAAATATGTGAAATCTACTGAGTGAAAACATAGTTATAAAATACATGAAACTGATTTAATAACATGTTTGTTTCTACTTGTATCGTTGGCGATGGCGGTGGCGTTTGTGTTGGTGAGAGAGAAGGGGGAGAGGGAAGTAAGTGGAAAGAACGAGGAAATAAAGAAAACCAAATGAATTTTGTGCTCTATCCCTTCACCTCTTCCGTTTTTCATCTGTTTGAACGCCAATATCAACTTCTATTTTGAAGCTGATTTTATTTAATATTTTTTATGAGTAGGTAATTGGTCGAAGTTAACACCAAGCCATGCCCCAATCTTGGTCGGGAAATACACATTCCATGTTAGGGTTTCCGTTGACATACAGTTTTAGAAAAAAATCTCCACTTTCTACTTTTTTCATACACAACACTTCCTCAACAAGTATCTTGCTTGATTCTTCTCTACTACTATATCGTCGTTCTTCTAACATTAACCTTGAAGGTCCCTTTTCGCACTATGGAGGAACACATTATCTTAGCAGCTATGCAGTTGATGAGTTCTTGGACGATGAGTACGAATGTGATTACGAGAATAACCTGGTACTTTTTCTACTCTTGCGTGTTGAATCATTTGATAGTATACCTAATACTCATTACATTTCATAAAGGGATGCACTTCTGTGTTTTAATTGGATTTGTTGCATGAGTTGAGCATAAATGAAGTTTATGGGTTTTAGCTGTTCCGGATGGATGGCGGTGTAAGTGGTGACGGTAAAAGAATGACTGAAACCAAAGGAAGGATGCTTCTTCTGATCAGGAGTTCATCAGCTTGGGTTCTTCCATCACTGATTTATGCATGCCCCTCAGGTACCCACCTAAGTCGTTGACTTTTTATTATTATAATAGCTGAGCCCTAATTTGACCAATTTTCGATGATTGATATTCGCTAGCATCGACGTTGTGTTGGGCGTGTGCGACAGAGATAGTCTGGCCGACGGTGACCAAAAGCCTTTCAACAACATCAAGAAACCACCATAGCCATTTGTAGTTGATGCAATCATTCAGACCAGAAGATAAGCATGATTTTCTTTTCCATTCAAAAATTTTATCATCCAATTTTACTCGTGAATCGTCGAATTTTGTACGAGGGATCATTTACCCTCAGAAATGTATGTACAAAAAAAAGACAAATAAATGTATTTTATCTAGAAGCTAAAGAGAACTCATCGATGATGGGGGTTTAATTTTGTTTGTTCGTATTATGATTCTTGGTAAAATTGAGAGAAATACTCCACCCATTAACCAAAAAAATAAAAAATCGGTGATGCTGACTTCGTCTCTTAGTTTTTTTTTGTTTTTTTGTTTTTTTTTTATCAAATTTTAAGTGAAATAAGCACTTTTTAAATTGAAATTGACTCTTTTTTTAAGTTCCAATTCTTTTTATAGAAGTTTCTGCTTTGTAATTAATTATTGTTTCATGGAAAATTGTAGGACTAAGATCGAATGGTATCTAGGGAAAAATTTGACCCAAAAGGTTATGAGGAAGAAAGCTAAGAAGGGTTCAAGAAGCCCAAAACAACCAATGACAAAAACTGAAGATTGTGAAAGCTTCTTCAACTTTTTCAATCCTCCACAAATCCCTGATGATGAAGATGACATGGATGAGGATACTGTAAGTTTAGCTTTGCTTCTTTTTTTTAATGAGAATGGTAAAATGGTTATTTTAGTGAAAAAAGTCTTTGGCCATAAATATTAACCCCAGACACACATAATTTATCCAGTTACCACATTATCTCGGTATGATACTTTTTTATATAGAATGGTGAAATGGTCATTTAAACAGTAAGTTTAGCACTATGTTTTTAAATAGAAGAGCAAAATGGTCATATGTATTCTCATTCAGACAGTCCCTTTAAGTCAAAAAAGTAGTCTTTGTTCATATATACTTACTGCAGAAAAACATTATTTATCCATCGACCACACAGTACTTTCTTAAACATAACGGTAAAATAATCATTTACTCTAATTCAGATGGTCCACTTGGACCAAAAAAGAAAAATTTTGTGTTCATACATACTTCTCCAAAGTCCATATATCATTGATCCATTTTGCACTTTATACATATAATATTCTTTTAACAGAAAGGGTAAAAAGTTGATTTCCTGAATTCAAAATGATATAAACATTACCACAAATGTCACATCAGCATAATATTAATGAAAATACTTATCATTTCTCATAAAATATGTAGTTTGTTCTTGAAAAGTATTATATGCAAATTGAAGTTGAAAAGTAACATGTTTGACTTTAAAGTCAGAGTATGAACGAATGAATTTAGTTGTGCCTGCCTTTGGGGAGGACAATTATACTTTGCTTTTTATTGCCAAAACATAAAACTCAAAACTGGTAGGGTTAGTAACAAGAAATAACATCATTAGTTTTATATATTTATTATAAAAGCTCTATATAATATTGACTTTAACTCCCTTTTTTATGTATTATGATTCTCCTTCTTATTGTTTAAATAGGTTGAACAGCTTCAGAATCAGATGGAACATGATTATGACATTGGGTAGGTACTAATTAATGTGCAATTCTATAATGTAATGAAATTCAAATGACAAATTCATTGGAGTTGTGCATTTTCTTCTTTTATTTGCTAGAATTTTTTTTTTCCAGATTGATCAACTTGAGTAATTATGAATTAAATTTCATGTTTCTTTTTTTCCATCAAATTTTGTATTAAAAATATTTCAGAAAATGAAACAACACAATTGGGAAAGTGGAAGGAAAAATAAATGAGGGAAAATCTGTAATAAGTGATGACTTAATGAGGAAAGCCTTCTTTCTTTGACTTTCATTTTAAAGTCGAAAAGAAACAATCATATATAACTTACTTTTTACTACTTTATCTTTAACCCTCCTCAATAATTTTTACTTCCTACCCTTACACCGAAGGGCAAAATGGTTATTTACTCTCATTAAGGCAATTCACCCGGTTATTTAATTAAAAATCTTTGTTCATACAATACGTTCTCTGGACAGACATCATTTACTCACTCAACAATTAATCCTTCCAACGCTAACAAGGAAAAATCATTTAGTTAAAATAACAAACACCTTAGATTTGTATTGTGCGCTTTGTTTCTAATTATAAAAAATAGTTGATTTTGGTGTGGTTAAACTGGTTGCTTAAATATATGAAACCAAATTGTTTGTTCCATACATTTGAGATTTAAATTATTTCTTATGTTTATTTTGAAGCATTTAAACACCACTGAGACTTTAAATGTTACTAAAATTTGTATTTTCCAGATCAACAATTCGAGAAAAAATCATTCCTCATGTTGTCTCTTGGTTTATTGGTGAGGCTGCCCAAAATGATGAATTTGAGAATGATGACGAAGATGATGACGATGTTGAAGATGATGATGATGATGATGAGGAGGAGGAGGACGATGATGATGATGAAGAAAATGTAAACAATATAAAGAAGGTAATTTACTAATTTATTAGTTGAAATTTTTTGTCAATATTTCTAACACAATCACAACATTCTTTAGTCCTATATAATATAACTGGGTGGACCAGAGATGTTGTCACTATAAATTAACTTGACTTCTTAGATTATAATAAACATTATTTTTATTGCCACCTTTAATTCCTAATTCATATGTACGTTTTCATATGCAGGATTTGCCTCAACATTTCCAGGATTTGGTTGATATTGGAAGAAATTCTTTGAGACGTTTACTCATTACTTATGCTAGAAATGCTCTACCACATGACACAACTTGAAACAAGAGAAAAAAACTAACACAACGCCAATGACACACATGATTCCCTCTAGTTATACTCAAATGTTAAGGCCCTTTTAAAAGTGCCAACGTGGAGCCACTAAAGTGGAAAGAAATCAGCAACAAAACTTGTTGAAATTCCATGTGTGTTAGTGTGTAAACATATCTTTTATTTTTTTTAAGTGCACTCTACAAATATATCCTATCAAAACTTTTAATTCAACAGCAAAATTTCCTATCTCGTTATACAAATCAAATGGAAAGATCATAAACACTGATGAAGGGAATATTATTAGTTCATATCGATAGCTTCCGAAAAGGGGATTAAATTTTGATTCAACAACAAAACGTCATTTTTTATGAACATTTGCATGTGGTTGATTTAATCAATTAGATTATGCTAGGTTTAGGTTTGCTTCTATAAGGTGATTTTTACGAGATTTTTTTTAAATGTTGTTTTATCGTATTAACTTTATCTTTTATACGATTAGTATTTAATCACAATACATGATGCATCAGAGAACTCATTTGCAAAGTGGACCATGGTTTATAAAAATAAAGTTTCGACCAAACAATTATGTATAAGGGAGTAAATAGTAATTAAGAAATTATAACAATAAAAATTATATTAATAAAAATGATAACTATAAAAACGAAGTGTGTATAAGTTTTTAAATTTAACAAAATTTTCCGAGGTGCGACAGTGAAGGGACTCAAATTTTATTTTGCCCTGAGCCTCAAATCGTCTTAGACCAGCACTGCTTCAGATCCATCTTCTCATACCACGTAAAGTTGCAAACTTTATGCGCATGCAAGGTCTCATAATGCTAAAACTTCAACAATAAGCTTCTTACAAGGCTCAAATGTAACGATGTGGATTAGGATGCACAAAGGAGACAACTTTATGACATTTGGGACCTAAGAAGGTCTAGATCTGGAACCATATCCTTGCGATAGGTCCAGATTTTGTTAGGATGCAATTACGTTTCTGACAAATTTTTATGCAGGGATATGGATTAGGATGCACAAAGGATATGGATTAGTTCATGAAGGGACTCAAATTTTATTAGGATGCAATTACATTTCTGACAAATTTTTAGGCAGAAGGGGAAAGGATTCGAGCAGACAGGCACTTGGACCAACACAGCCTCCTCTACCTTTTCTTTCTAATAACCTTCTCGATGAGTTTGGAAAATTTATCGTTGTCTTCACTTGTATACTTTCTAAAAGAACCCATGAAGTGTTGAAGAATCAACATCTACATACCCATCTTCCTCTACAATTTCCCTAGTGATATTCACTAGCTCATCCTTCATATAACTACCGGTACCAGTAATCCTATCGAACTCCAAAGGAATGGTGTTTCTATAAAAAGGTTGTACAAGGTGTCAAAATTTTACCTTTTGCATCCGTAACCATGCTCTTCCAGAGCATCTCTCGATAATCTTCAATTGTGCATCACATATTCACATAGGATCACCGATGTGAATAGCTCCCAACCAATCTTTTTGGGTACTTTTAAGGAAAAACTTATCGGTAATCTAAAAATGGTGGGGTTTGAGGATAAAAGACTATTAAAACTACTGAGTGAGGAGTTAAAGCATTTACTCTCTTTAATGACGTAGAAGGAATAAGTAAGGAAAACCTCCACATCGGCCGGAAGGATAACGTTCTAACCGTTTGACATTTAACAGAATCCCCTAATAAAACTATATTATCTAAGTTAAACAACCACATGGTCAAAACAAACTTTAGTGACCAAATAAAGAAACTTCTCAGATTTTCATGCAGTATCTTTAAATGGTAATTTTAAAAATTGGTTAATTATGGATCATAAAACAGATATTAATATGAGAATTTGTATCATATTTTATTTTAAAAGTTGAAAGTTGAGGGGAGTAACGCAAAACTTGGGATGTATAATTAGTTAATTACACTAATTGAGTCTTGTCTAGTTTCAAACAGGGGGGAAACAACGAGGGCTCTGTTGCCACCACGAAGATGTTCGAAGAAGAACCAAATCAACCTAAAATTGCCCAGAAACGGATTAAGTTTCAACAAATCCTTGAGAAGGGAGAAGAGGATGAAATCAGTGCGCTGCCCGATTCGTTGCTTCTTGAAATCCTTTCTCGTTTACCCTCCACAAAACACGCCATTAGAACAGGCACACTCTCCAAGCGATGGGCACATCTTTGGACTTTCGTACCTACTCTGATTTTCACACCTTTAGATCTTTCCCATGGTCATCGTCGCCGAAACTCTTACTCAAGGTATGATTTCGCATTATTGGTGGACAAAACCCTAACTCAGTGTCGCCAATCGAAGCTTAAGAAATTCGAAGTGTATATCTATTACGATATCCAATTTGAATCGCATTACAACAACTGGATTCAACGTGCTATAAGTTGTAACGTTGAAGAGCTTAAGTTGGATTTTCTGTATACGGGAAATGAAGCTGAGTTTCGGTTAGATCAATTTCCTTTCATCAATTCTTGTTTTACTGATCTGAGATTAGTAGGCTGCAAGGTGAATCCAAGTGGGGCGATTAGTTGGAAAAACCTTAAGAGTTTGTGTATTTCCCATATGAATTTAGATGAAGATATGATCGTTAATATATTATCAGGGTGTCCTCTGTTGGAAACTTTGATGTTGCAAGGTTGGTTTGGTTATATTGGTCCCTATATTACTTTAGATGATGAATCTGAAGACGATATCATCCAAATGAATGCTTCTAATAGTTTATCACTAACTCAATGTCCCCAAGTGAACCTCAAGAAATTCAAAGTTTTATCCGAGTTGGATATTACGTTTGAATCCCAACTCAACAGTTGGATTCGTTATGCTATAAGATGCAACGTTCAAAAGATTAGTTTAAGGTTCTGGAATGCGGTATTCGGATCTGATTTTATGTTAGATCAAACTTTTTTCACGAGTTCATGTTTTACTAAGCTGAAATTAAATGGGTGCATGGTTAATCCAGTTGGGGCAATTAGTTGGAAAAATCTTAGGAGTTTGTCTATATCTTATTGGAGTTTAAATGAAGTTTTGATTGAAAATATATTATCTGGAAGTCCTGTATTGGAAACTTTGGTGTTGGATAATTGCTATGGCTATAGGAATCTCCATATTACTTCAAAGAGTGTTAAAAACTTGGTGTTATCTAGATACCAGAATTATTATGCTGAATCTGAAGCTGATATTGTCGAAATCAATGCTCCCAATATTTTATCACTAACAATCAAAGATGATTTGGTGTTGCAGAAGCTTTTGTTGGTAAATGTGTCTTCTTTAGTCAAAGCTAACTTAAATTATAAATGTTCAAAGATTGTGCAAAGAACTCCTACAGAAGTGGAAGAAGAGATGCTTAAAGGATTTATAATGAATCTTGGCCATGTCAAGGAGCTTAAAATTGGGATTTTATGTTCTAAGGTTAAATTTCTTTTGGTTTTCCATTTTTGATAAACTTGTTTTAATCAATGATCCTAATATATAATCACTTGTGTTTTTTTTATTGGCAGGTTCTTTCTTGTTTGCAAGCTAAAGGTTTCATTTTTCCATCAAATTTGATTCCTGAAGCTATCTGATTAATGATGCTTTGAGTTCATGTTTAAGAATTTAAGTTATGTTGATTTATTTTCATCTATTTTCTGTTTTGTGTAGTAGACTTGGTAGTTGGTTACATTGGGTTGTGGGATCATTTATTTTTAAAATATTGATTGATTGATCGCTTTTTAGTTATAGTTAGTTATTATTAGACATTAGTTGTTGTTACTCAAAAGCATCTACGTCTATTGTAGTTTTGAAGCTTCATTTTTTTGGTAATCTCTCATCTTCTATGAGTTTTGGCATTATATTGAGCAAAAATTGGTAAGCTTTTGTATTGACCAAAACTAATTGGTGTTGTGGTTATATATTGCTGACTTTTGGACTCTGATGTTGTTTATATTGAGAAGTCATAATGTATGCAGGAGTTTCTATCTGTTTTTCTAATGAATGATAGGCCAAAAACTCTTTTTCTATTCTTAAATTGTCTAACTTATTGAATGACGAATTGAATTATTGATGATTTGTTTAACTACAATCAAAAGATAAAACATTTGAAGAAACGGAAAAAAAATAGAAGAAGAAGCTTTCGTCTAAAATTATAATAATTTGGAATTCCAACTTTTTGATAACGGTAAAAAAAAAATAGATGTAAGTGATATTCGATATTCGTATTGGTTTGAAAATGCAGATAATATTTTTATTTGTTTGTGTAATTGTTTAAAGTGATACATACATTTGTGTATCATTTTCAACAATTAGACTATTTTAATGATCTTGTTAATATTTCCAAATACATTTTTCTTACGTTATGTATCAATAAAATCATGTTTATATAGTAAATTAATAATGAGTTGCACTAAAGTAACTTAACAAATCCCTAACATTTACTTAATTGAACTAGGTGGGGACCCCCGTATTTTGGGGGTCGGATGCGATGATTTTTTCCGCTACTATTCACTACTAAGACAGTGTATCTCCAGAGATAGAAAGCACCTTAAAAACTGCATCACCAACCTCAACAATTATGATCAACAAAAAGGGAAATATGTGTAATCAAACTAATACGAATGCACATGGAAAAAAGATGTCCTGCCAAAAAAAAAAAACAAATGTAGAAAGATACAAACAGACACAATTGCAAACAATGAAAGGAAGAACAATTGCATGTAATGCCTTACCTGCAAGTTTGCAAATACATTGCTCTTCTTCCTCTAGGAAAAAAAACATCCATATAAATCATACTCTAAAATGTGACATTACATTTAAATGATAACTAAAAGACATCAATTACTTAATCAGTATTCCATATCTGACATTAACTAAGAACTAGATGAGAATCATGCGCACCCGTTGGCGCTGTGTTCGTTTTTTTTTTCTCTTGTCAGCAAAAACCTAATATGATAAAAGTCAAAACATTAGTCAACAGAAGGTTCTAGAATTGTGAAAAAATGTTTGAATTTTATTATTACCTTGAGTACCGGTTGGACCAAAAACGCGGTTGAATTGAAACAACTTTTTTCCATTTTACCTTTAAAAATAATAATTATATATTTTTTTTTTCTTTTTCATCATTCTTTTACCGGTTGCATCTGTCTAAAAAGAGATATGACTAAAATTTGAAAGGTAACTCACTTTAAGTTTCCCTCAACTTTTGTATGTCCAACCTCTCCTATAAAAAGCTTTGGCATTTCTTGCATCTGTTCCCAATACCCGGAGAATTTCTGATATATAAGTTGTTCGTTATTAAAAGACAATATGATTTATAAGGAAAACAATAAATCTCATACTTATAGCCTTCCCCACTCCACATTACCTGTTTTCTTTTCCTTTCATCTTTGTCTTTTATGGATTTTGGCTCCATCCACTTTGCCTGTAGTTCCAGATTTCTTTAGAGTATATTTTTGTGATAGTATGCAGTTGTTTTTTTTTTTTTTTTTTTTTTTTTGGTTCTATGTGGGTGTAGATGTGTGAATTTGTGATCTCTGCCATAAAAAGAGAGAGCTCGTGGGCCTTATTCTGCAGATCAAAGAACTACATAGATAGGGGCAAAATAGTAATTATGTATATACCAATATGAAAATTTGTTGACGGCTGCCAACATGGGAGACTCGAATATTGCAACACCTTCTGCGAGTATATTTAATAACTTTCAAATTCAACTTATTTACCTTCTCTTCCAAAGCTTCATGAAAACTATCTTCTAATTTATCCTTATCTTTCTGTAACCAAATTGGTAATAGTTTCATAATTCTTTGTGTTTTAGAAAACATACTGTGATGATATATATTTACCGACTAAAATCAAACAAATCTAAGTGAAGTTCATAACGATAATTTATAAATCAGATGATGAGTATGATATTAACATAAATCTAAAAAACAAAAAGAAAAAATGGAAGAAGTTAAAGATATACTTACCAGACCTAAGATTGGCTCTATGAACCAATGCCACATGACAACTTCCATAAGATTCTGTAAGTGCATCGGCACCAAGTAAATTACACCCATCAACAACTCCAAACCTTCAATTTTGGAAAAACCTAAAAAAACAGTGTAATCAAGCAAATTGAAACGATTGCTCACAAAACCTTCTAAATTACATGGAAACCAACACAAGTTGTGGTAAAGACTATAAGTGGTAATTTTATCATTCTTAAAAGGTTCCAATAAGAAAAATATTATCACGATAAGAATAAATTATATAATTATAATACTTGATGTATACGGTGTGGAAACTTTTCTCTAATCACTTCATCCCATGGTGTTTTAAGTTGGCTAATATAAAAAAGATGCATACACTAAAAAATACACAAAATTATTTGCAGCAAAACAATACGAAAAATAGTATTAAACATCAAAATTATTGAAAGCTTCCCTATTTCATAAAATATTATATGAGATGTTTTACACCAAAACCTTTAAGTCCAGAAATCATGAAACGCCTACAGGAACAGAAGAGCAAATGTAAATCCAAGGGCAAAACAGGGACGAAAAGAAACTTATTACACAAAAAGGATAACATCCGGTTCATATCCAGCAAGATCTCTACATTGCTCAACAAATTTGAATAATTTTTTTTCTCCACCAAGTCTACTTGATTCATTCATAAGATTTTTTTTTTTCTTTTGGATTGGTGACCTATGATGAAAGTTGGACCAAACTAGTTGCTAAAAAGCATAAAGTTTCAAATGAAGAAAAAGTTGAAAATACGATGTTGTAACTGAACATTAATATATAGAATAAAAATGAACATGTTTGTGAACAATTACAGCTTCTAAAAAAACATCCCATATCTATAGGTTAAAAAAACTGAACATATTTGTGAACAGTTACACTTGCAGATCAGTCACGCTTTCTCTAATTTATACTTACCGTTCATTCATTGCTTTCCTTATCCACCACCCTTGTTTCACGCCATCTCCACTTCCCCATTTATTTTGCCTCTTACAAACGCCATCAAATCAGGTATATTACAAATTTATTATTTTAGAAAAAAATCAAAATAATAAAAATAAAATATGATTTCTATTAAAAGGAAACTGTTTTTTTAGAACCAATAGCTTTCATTTTCCATATTACCAAAGGCAGAAAGCAGACTCTTCACTTTTCTTTATTCTGACCATAATCAAATTTTTTTATTTGCCTTTGTAGAACGTAGTTAATAATGTTAATGCATCAGATTCCTCAAATCATCAATTTAATTTTAGTCCGTTTTAACCAACATACATGAGATTTAAAGTTAGCATTTATCATGTAATACATAGATTTGTTCCAAGAAACATACTTCGATTACCTTTTTAATCACAAACATGAAACTTCTAATTTCTTGTATTAAACATGGCTTTTACAAAAGCCAAATTTGTACCCTTTTACCAACTTATTATCACCAAGCTCAAAAGGTAAAATCGTTTGTTTATTTGATGTTTGTAAATTATGACCAATAATACACTAAGAGCATTCAAAGTAAATTTTGATTTTGCATTGTATGTTTGACTTTGATAGAAAGTCAAAGCTGTCAAAATGAACTAATTTGGCCTTTCACTTAAATCTTTATAGATTATAAACATTTTCCAAGCCTTCTTTTTCTTAACCAAAATTCATTCATTAATGTCATATTTTTCATTCAAGTATTAAACTTAATGTAAGAAGTTACGTTTAAATTTTGTCACAGAAGAGGATTGGAAATTACCACTTCTTTCCTTTGGGCTACTCCTGCTGTGGGTGCTGGGTTTTGGAATATGTTTGTTCTTGGTTTTGTTAAAAGCTATAGGCGACCAACGGGTTCCTTTTCTGCAAATTGTATTAAACTTGATAAAGAAGTCAAACAATTTTTAAGTCGAAAAGTCAAAATGAGTACCTTCAGTCGTCTACTAAGCTCCTTATTCCCACAATAAGCATGATACTTGAATATTCCTTTGAAAATACGTTGCGCAAGCACACTTCCTTCTAATCCTACAAAAATTTGACAATATTTTCCTTTGAAAATACGCACACGTTACTTTTCTAAGTCGAATTGAATGCTTTATGCAAAAACTTTACAACGTTGTGGGTGTGGGTATAAAATAATGCAAAATAAAGAAATTTCTTACTTGTTAATGTCATCAGAAGAGTAGCCAGTAACACCACCAAAAACAACCAACACATAATCAACATCAAGGGATCTCATAATCTCATAAGCTTCATCCTCATATTAATATGAATAACATCTGTTTTATATGATCCATAATTAACCAATTTTTAAAATTGCCATTTAAAGATACTGCATGAAAATCTGAGAAGTTTCTTACTTTCTTTAATTGGTCACTAAAGTTTGTTTTGACCATGTGGCCGTTTAACTTAGATAATATAGTTTTATTAGGGGATTCTATTAAATGTCAAATGGTTAGAACGTTATCCTTCCGGTCGATGTGGAGATTTTCCTTACTTATTCCTTCTACGTCATTAAAGAGAGTAAATGCTTTAACTCCTCACTCGGTAGTTTTGATAGTCTTTTATCCTCAAACCCCACCATTTTTAGAGTACCGATAAGTTTTTCCTTAAAAGTACCCAAAAAGATTGGTTGGGAGCTATTCACATCGGTGATCCTATGTGAATATGTGATGCGCAGTTGAAGATTATCGAGAGATGCTCTGGAAGAGCATCGGTTACGGATGCAAAAGGTAAAATTTTGATACCTTGTACAACCTTTTTTATAGAAACATCATTCCTTTGGAGTTCGATAGGATTACTGGTACCGGTAGTTATATGAAGGATGAGCTAGTGAATATCACTAGGGAAATTGTAGAGGAAGATGGGTATGTAGATGTTGATTCTTCAACACTTCATGGGTTCTTTTAGAAAGTATACAAGTGAAGACAACGATAAATTTTCCAAACTCGTCGAGAAGGTTAATAGAAAGAAAAGGTAGAGGAGGCAATATTGGTCCAGGTGCCTATCTGCTCGAATCCTTTCCCCTTCTGCCTAAAAATTTGTCAGAAACGTAATTGCATCCTAATAAAATTTGAGTCCCTTCATGAACTAATCCATATCCTTTGTGCATCCTAATCCATATCATTGCATAAAAATTTGTCAGAAACGTAATTGCATCCTAATAAATTCTGGACCTATCGCAAGGATATGGTTCCAGGATCTACTTAGGCCCCAAATGTCATAAAGTTGTCTCCTTTGTGCATCCTAATCCATATCCTTGCATTTGAGCCTTGTAAGAAGCCTATTGTTGAAGTTTTAGCATTATGAGACCTTGCATGCACGTAAAGTTTGCAACTTTACATGGTATGAGAAGATGGATCTGAAGCAGTGCCGGTCTAAGACGATTTGAGACCCTGGGCAAAATAAAATTTGAGTCCCTTCACTGTTGCACCTTGGGAAATTTTGTTAAATTTAAAAACTTATACAAACTTCGTTTTTATAGTTTTCATTTTTATTAATATAATTTTTATTGTTATAATTTCTTAATTACTATTTACTCCCTTATACATAATTGTTTGGACGAAACTTTATTTTTATAAACTGTGGTCCACTTTGCAAATGAGTTCTCTGATGCATCATGTATTGTGATTAAATACTAATCGTATAAAAGATAAAGTTAATACGATAAAACAAAATTTTTTTAAAAAAATCTCGTAAAAATCACCTTATAGAAGCAAACCTAAACCTAGCATAATCTAATTAATTACATCAACCACATGCAAATGTTCACAAAAAATGACGTTTTATTATTGAATCAGAATTTAATCCACTTTCGGAAGCTGTCGACATGAACTAATAATATTCCCTTCATCAATTTTTATGATCTTTCCATTTGAATTTTGTAACGTCCGAAAAATACAACCAATTTAAATTTTTCAAAACAACCTGATTTTCACTAAATTGTTTACAAAAAGGTTTTCAATACAAATCATTTAGAGTATTTCCAGAATCACATTGCTACAAAATCATGAGAATCGGTACGATCGCACCTTCGCCTTGCCACGGTCTCCTAAAAAACCTGAAAAACATTAAACCACAACTGTAAGCCCGAAAGCTTAGTGAGATACCCCCAAAATACCAACCACGTATACGGCCTTCCAGGCCACAACCTTCCGGTCCAAACATATCGCCTTTCGACCCATTGCGTAATGCCTTCCGGCCCATAACATAATGCCTTCCGGCCTATAACATATCGTCTTCCGACCCGCAACGTAAAAGCATATATATATATATATATATATATATATATATATCATGACAGAACATAGAACAACCGTGCATACCGGGTTACACTCCAGACCAGACGACCATACACATAACATGTAATCATATAGCAGTTCACAGTTAGCAAATCGATCAACAGATCACATAGCATATCATTACCCTAACCAAGATACCAGCCTAGCCGATCACTAGCATAACATCACCCTACGACTCAGCCAACATAATAATTATGCACATACGCCTTTCCAGGCCATGACCATCCGGTCCACATCGCATTGCCTTCCGGCCCGCAACATGTAATGCCTTCCGGCCCATATCCCGCAATATCATACAACAGACATTTACCCGGATTTCCATCCGATAAAAGGGTCGGCCTTGGTGCCTTAAACCCTATAGATATAGTGAGGATAACTCACCTCGAAACTGTCGGCTGAAAGGATAAGATCCCGCTGCTCCGGACTCTGACACGAACTCCTCCACTGAACATCAAAACATACAACTCAATAAATGCCCTTAATTACCAAAATACCCCTGGAAGACAACTGGTCAACCTTGGACAAGTCAAAGTCAACCCCTGACTGACCCTACTCGCCGAGTCAACCCGATGACTCGCCGAGTCCTTATGCTCAGAACTTCCCTCAATCAGCGACCCAACTCGCCGAGTCACCCCAAGACTCGTCGAGTCCAACAACTCTGAGTCCACTCGCACCCAACTCACCGAGTCATCCCTTGACTCACCGATTCATCGACTCAACCAGAAATATTGGGACTTCCTCGACAAGACTCGCTGAGTCCAAATGGACTCGTCGAGTCCAAGGCTATCTTCAACCTACTCGCCGAGTTGTTCTTCCAACTCGTCGAGTTCCAGGCCATCTTCAAGCAAGTCGTCGAGTCCACCCATGTGACTCGTCGAGTACCACCGGTCTAAATCCATACAGAAGCATCTCAGGCCATGCAATTGATCCAAAACATAGATCCAACCTCCTACAATCCATCCATCACGTAAAGTGGCAAACTTTACGTGAATCTAAAGAGATCTAGGCCTTATTCACCTTAGAACCAAGGTTTGGGACATGGTAGCTCCATTAACAACACAAGAACAGGGGCTTTAATGCTCTTAAGATCTTCTCCACTCCAGATCTGAGGTAGTAACCTCAAATCCATACCCCAAACATCAAGATACCACACAACCAAGCCCCCCACACAACTCCAAAATGAGAATCTAGGAAAACACAACCCAAGAACAAAAGTATTACCTCCAAAAGATGCCTCAATAGCAACCAAACTCGAATCCAAGCAAATCCCTTTGATCCAAGCCACTTCTCCTTCAAGATTTCTTCAACCAACACCTCTCCAAGCTCTAATTTGCTCCACAAAGGGACTCTCCACGAGTTTAGGGTTTCTAGGACTCAAGGGGGGAATAAGGGAGGCTGTGGAGGGGTATAATGCTCTTTATATAGGGCTCAACCCCGAAAATTAGGGTTTTCTCCATACATCACCTACTCGCCGAGTCCATCTTTGGACTCGCCGAGTAGGCCACTTGACATGCGACCATAGTCGCGACCTGACTCGTCGAGTCTATCCATGGACTCGCCGAGTCACCCTCTAAAACTTACACTTTTAGCCCTTCAACTCTACTCTTGCGATTCTGGGATGTTACAATTCTCCCCCACTTAAATTAGGCTTCGTCCTCGAAGCCTGCGGCATCTCATCTTCAAATTACTTCCCACGACGCGCCACCTGACCTTGACCGAACCAAGTCCCTCAAGGTACAACCATAGAAACCAGAAGCTCACTTTCTCCTTCCATACGGTGTCCCCACCACCCACTGAAACCGGGCACCAACTGTACCCTCCGATAACCACACTCAACACTGAGAATTACCCATGATGCCTTACTGCTCCAATTCTCATCTTTCACTTGACTCATATGGCTATAAAGCCACGAACCATCGGATCGCCGATCCGAATTCCACTCTATCCATCCCATGACGACCGAAAGACCCATTCTTCCATTCCGGAGCAACTCCCCCGAGTTCTCCTCTCACAATCACACACACATGCTGATCTAGCTCTAGCACCCTCAGGTTTGGAAAACCTGATACACTGATGATATCCTCAAACATCCTTCCAGGATGAACCGCTAATACATACCCAAAACCCTGATCAGAATCTCACTGAGAGTTCAAGACTCTTTCTCTGTATCTCTTCCGGACCCCTCTCCCTAGCTCTATGCCGCGGTATTCCCTCCGCGCCCTGAGCAACATATCAAGTCGAATGAGCTTTTATTCTACCGCCGCAACACACTACTCAAAGACCATCGACGGACAACTCCAATCATAACTCTACACTGCCGCTTTCACCTCCGTGAATTCGCACTCCCTTTTCGGAATTTCATTCCTCCCTCTTTCCTTACCAAGGAAACCACTCGTCCGCCCAGTCACCATGACAGGCACTATGGTGCTCATCCCACGCTACATTACCTCTTTAAAGCGTACCAGGCATCCATGCATCACCACTACTCTGACTCTCATCACAGGGACTCTCAAGCCCATGCACTACCTTCACTGCTCAAGATCGCTACCTGGGGCCAGACCTCCCAATGTAATTACACTGCAACATACGCAACCCATAACCTCGAACCGATCCAACAATACTCGCAGAGTATTCAGCATGACTGGACCACCTCCCCAGGCCTTCAGCCAATCTGGACCACTCTCAGAACCTTCAGCCGATCTGACTGGACCGTCCTCCTAGCCTTCGGTTTGACTGGTACGCCTACCGGCCTTCAGTCTATCCGGACCGCTCAACTAGCATTCATCATTCCGAACTATCCCTTCGGGAAATCCTCCTGTGCATACCGTTCTAGCCCTATAGGGGTTCTGAACTCTATCTCCATCATGCATACTCAAACCCAACCTGCTCCCATGCCTTCCACAATCAATTGCTCTAGGTTTGTATTCCGCCCCACATG